CTCTGACTGTCCGGAATGGAGGAAACGTCTTAGTCCCTTGCTATCCTTCCGGAGTGATCTACGACCTTTTGGAATGCCTGTACCAGTATATCGACTCTGCCGGCCTCTCTAACATCCCCTTCTACTTCATCTCGCCCGTCGCAAACAGCTCGCTCGAATTCTCCCAGATCTTTGCCGAATGGTAAGGCCCAGTGGGCACTATTGATCACTGAAGAGATTGAAAGCTACTATCAGCTGGGTGCTAGGAGTGTGAGAAGCTATCCATTGATCTAACTCAGATATGGGTAAACTTGGGCCCTCCACGTGTTTTGGACTTCAACTCCCACAATTCTTAAAATCTTACAGGCTGGGTTGTTGTAAGTTTTTTCAGGCTGTATGGCCATGTTCTAGGGGCATTCTCTCCTGACATTTCGCCTGCATCTATGGCAAGCATCCTCAGAGGTAGTGAGGTCTGTTGGAACTAAGAAAATGAGTTTATATATCTGTGGAATGACTAGGGTGGGACAAAGAACTCTTGTCTGTTGGAGCTAGGTGTGAATGTTTCAATTGACAACCTTGATTAGTATTTGATGGCCTGGCAGTTGTTTGGTGTGGCTTGTTAGTGCCTGGAGCAATCTTTTGCTGAGAGGTGATTAGAAGTCCCTGATTGTTTTCTCTCTGTTGTTTTGCTGTTGTAATTTTACAGTTTTTTAATACTGGTATTCAGATTTTGTTCATTTTCATGGTTTCCTCCTTTCTGTTGAAATTGTCCACATGCTTATGGATTTCAGTGGCATCTCTGTGTTGCCTGACATAGTGGTTGTGAGAGTGGTCCAGCATTTCTGTGTTCTCAAATAATATGCTGTGTCCAGGCTGGCTCATCAGGTGCTCTGCTATGGCTGACTTCTCTGGTTGAAGTAGTCTGCAGTGCCTTCCATGTTCCTTGATTCGTGTTTGGGCAATGCTACGTTTGGTGGTCCCTATGTAGACTTGTCCACAGCTGCATGGTATACAGTAGACTCCTGCAGAAGTGAGAGGATCCTTCTTGTCCTTTGCTGAACGTAGCGTTTGTTGGATTTTCTTGGATTTTCCAACAGACCTCACTACCTCTGAGGATGCTTGCCATAGATGCAGGCAAAACGTCAGGAGAGAATGCCTCTAAAACATGGCCATATAGCCTGAAAAAACCTATACATCGACAATACATCTTACAGGCTGTTAGGAATTGTGGGAGTTGAAATCCAAAACACCTGGGGGGCCCAAGTTTGCCCATGCCTTGTCTAACTGCATTTGTTCTGCTTGTTGTGAGCTTTGAACAAAATTGTAATTGAATCCAGACAAGACAGAGGTACTCCTGGTCAGTCGCAAGGCCGAACAGGGCATAGGGTTACAGCCTGTGTTGGACGGGGTTACACTCTCCCTGAAGATGCAGGTTCGCAGCTTAGGAGTGATCCTGGACTCATCGCTGAGCCTGGAACCCGAGGCGATGACCAGGGGAGCATTTGCACAGTTAATACTTGTGCACCAGCTGCACCCGTACCTTGGGAAGTCTGACTTGGCCACGGTGGTCCATGCTCTGGTTACATCCCATATAGACTACTGCAATGCTCTCTACATGGGGCTGCTTTTGAAGACTGTCTGGAAGCTTCAATTGGTCCAACGGACAGCAGCCAGGTTGTTAACAGGAGCAGCACTCAGGGAGCGCACAACTCCTCTGTTGCACCAGCTCCACTGGCTGCCAGTTTGCTACCGGGCACAATTCAAAGTGCTGGCTTTAGACTTTTAAGCGGTTCTGGCCCGGTTTACCTGTCCCAACACATCTCTTCCTATGAACCATCTAGGTATTTAAGATCATCCGGAGATGCCCTGCTCTCGGTCCTGCCTTCCTCGCAGATCTGGTTGGCGGGAACGAGAAACAGGGCCTTCTCAGTGGTGGCCCCTCGGCTATGGAACACCCTCCCTAGGGATAGTAGATTGCCCCCCCCCCCCACTCCAGACATTTCAACAGAGAGTTAAAATCTGGCTATTCGAGCAGGCATTTGCAAACGCAGTATAACTGATTAATTGAGACTCATGGAATAACAAGACGATGCGACGGACAATGATTTTATCGATGAGACGCTGAGATTTGTATTTTATGCTTTTAATTGTTAATTGTTTTTATATAGCTATTTTATATGTAATTGTTTTGACTGTATTTTTATCTTGTAGGGCATTGATTGTCAATGTAAACCGCCTCGAGTCGCCTTCGGGCTGAGACGGGCGGTATACAAATATAGTAAATAAATAAATAAATAAATAAATAAATAAACAAGAATAATTGCATGGTTCCAACTGTGTAGAGACAAGTGTGAATGTCGTCCACTGCCATATAAACTTATTTCATATTGGAGAGTTTTGACTGTAGGTGGCAGCAGCAAACTGCAGTTTCCTTTCATCTGGCGATATTGTGGAATGATTGTCCTCTTCCCATCCCAAATTGCAGGTTGTGTCACAACAAGCAGACGAAGGTCTACCTGCCAGAGCCACCCTTTCCTCATGCAGAGGTGAGTAGATGGAAATGGACACAGAGACTTACTTACTTAGGCGATCCCTCGCTTTCGGAGGATGATTGTCTTCCAGTGTCCTTGTGGGTCCGTATGTGACTGTGGAGCCCTATTCTTGTTCTGCATCTTCTTCCGCAGTGAGGACATTGGTTTCCAGGTGGAAGGCGGTCTCGGTCAGGTTTGGCTTGATGCGCCTTCCTCTTGGCACGCTTCTCCCTTTCGCCCATCATTCGTGCCTCTTCAAATTCTGCAGCACTGCTGGTCACAGCTGACCTCCAGCTGGAGCGCTCAAGGGCCAGGGCTTCTCAGTTCTCAGTGTCTATGCCAGAGTTTTTAAGGTTGCCTTTGAGCCCATCTTTAAATCTCTTTTCCTGTCCACCAACATTCCATTTTCTGTTCTTGAGTTGGAGTAGAGCAACTGCTTTGGGAGACGGTGGTCGGGCATCCGGACAACGTGGCCGGTCCAGCGGAGTTGATGGCAGAGGACCATCGCTTCAGTGCTGGTGGTCTTTGCTTCTTCCAGCATGCTGACGTTTGTTCGCCTGTCTTCCCAAGAGATTTGCAGGATTTTCCGGAGGCAGCGCTGATGGAATCGTTCCAGGAGTTGCATGTGACGTCTGTAGACCACGTCTCACAGGCATAGAGCAGGGTTGTGAGGACAATAGCTCTATAAACAAGCACCTTGGTATCCCTACGGATGTCACGGTCCTCAAACACTCTCTGCTTCATTCAGAAAAATGCTGCGCTCACAGATCTCAGGCGGTGTTGTATTTCGGTGTCGAGGTTGACTTTGGTGGTGAGGTGGCTGCCCAGGTAGCGGAAATGATCAACATTTTCTAATGTTACACCATTAAGCTGTATCACTAGCATTGGAGAGGGGTTGGCTGGTGTCTGCTGGAACAGCACCTTGGTTTTTTCAATGTTCAGTGACAGGCCGAGCTTCTCATATGCTTCTGCGAAGGTGTTTAGAGTGGGTTGTAGGTCTTCTTCTGAATGCGCACAGACGACGTTGTCATCAGCATACTGGAGTTCTATAACAGATGTTGTTGTAACCTTGGTTTTGGCTTTCAGTCTACTGAGGTTGAATAGCTTGCCATCTGTCCGATAGATGATTTCCACTCCGGTGGGAAGCTTCCCATCAACAAGATGAAGTATCATAGCGATGAAGATGGAGAATAAATTTGGGGCAATAACACATCCCTGTTTGACACCGGATTCCACCTTAAATGGGTCACTTTGGGAGCCACTGCTGTCCAAAACTGTTGCCATCATGGACACAGAGAGGAGCTGGCTTTCATTGGATGAGGCTGAGTCTTGTCTGTTCATAGATATCGTTGGTCCTCCAAAGTCATTGAGTAGTCAGGTTTTCCCAGAGTTGCTGCTACCTGAGCATTTTGCAGTGGAGGCACAGGAGGGGCATTTATTGAACCTGGGACCTTTTGCAAAGTGGACTCTGTCCCAAAGGACTTGGCAGGTCCTCCCTAAAAAACAGGAAATGTGTCTTCTTAGGCGTGTGATTTTATATCTAGAATTTTGGCTTGTTTCTCTCTCACTCCGTCTCTCTCTGTATCTTTTGGAAAATGTGAATCTCCATAACTATTTGGGAAATGAGATTCATAACCTTTTGGAAAAATCACTGGAAAGACAAGACATGACTTTGCTAGAAGTCACAACCTTTTGAAAAGTGGTGTTTACCAGCATTTATGCAAGGCAACTAGGTCTCTCAGATGTTAAACTGATGTACCTAGGTATGTCTTTGAACTGTTAGGGACAAAGACATGCCAATGCACAAAAACACATATATAGTAGCAGTTTCAGAAGTGTTTTTTGAAGTTGCTCAAAAACATCTACTCTCCCTTAAATATATTTGCCTTTGGATCATGCTCTCAAGAGACAAAAAAAATCCAGTCTTTAACACTCTTCTTTAAAAGTAACATAGTTGGTTTACTCACAAAACTTCATGTATGAGAGTTGAATGAAAAGTAATGCCTCCACCTTCGTAACTCCTCAACAGATGACAGTACTGGTATGTGGCAGGTACTGGCTTGTTCAGTAGACTCTCCTCTACAGTTCAATTTTGGCGGGAAGCCTTAGCATTTAATGGTTGTGTTGTTAAAGTGTGAAGTATGGAACCCTGTGCAGACCGTCAGTCAATGTGACTTAAGCAATGTGCAGTCGTTGAATTCTTGACAGCAGAAAGTGTCACCCCAAAGGAGATTCATCAGAGAATGCAAGCCAAAAAGCATTTTATGCTATTTTTGGGCAAGTAAAATCATAGAATCATAGAATCCTAGAGTTGGAAGAGACCTCATGGGCCATCCAGTCCAACCCCCTGCCAAGGAGCAGGAATATTGCATTTAAATCACCCCTTACAGGTTAGGTAAAATTGCAAACCAATGCACACATACAATACCGTAAGCAATTATATACATAACAAACAACTAGTGGAGGCTTGAGAAGGTTGCTATTTCCAACAGTATCCAGTCATCCCACAACATTTGTATGTTTAACATTTGCATATTTGATTGCATTATGTAACAAGATTTTTTTGTTCCTGGGTTATAAATCTCATTTCCTAATTGGTTCTGTCATAAAAACATGGGAAAAGTTTATTAAACTGCAAAAACTTTGTTTTGGTGTGACATCCTGCAGTACATTTTGCTCTAGTTTTTCAGTGACTCTCTCGTTGAGTCTCAACCAATTCAACCTAGTTTGTGGCAACCACAATAACAAAGTTATTGTGGTTTCTAAGTGCACACCACACTGTTAAACAGGAATAACACTTTCAAATCAGGAACAGAAAAAAATCAAATGTTATATAGTGTTATTTGTGGATTTCATTGATGCGGTTTCTTGTCAGCCATGAGCAAACTTGGACCCTCTATATGTTTTGGACTTCAACTCCCAGGATTCCTAGCAGTCTACCAGCTGTTAGGGATTATGGGAGTTGCAGTCCAAAAAGCCTGGTGGGCCCAAGTTTGCCCATGCCTACTTTAGATGCATTATGACTCAGTTGGCGTTTGAATATTCAGACACTTTTAACACCTGCTCGGAGGTCTCTCTCTTCTCTCCACCACCACCCTGTTCCCTGTTCTCTCTGGAAATGAAATTCATATTTTTATTTTCTGGCTCTAACACTCTCTGCTGAGCCTCCAGCTCCTGTTTCTGGGTGTGAAGCACTGCTTTCCATCTGCTCCCGTCAGAAATCTCACCCTCGCTTAATTACGGGCGCCTTTGGAAGGCTGAGAGCTTGATTAACTTTTACAGTGCATGTTGTGTGTGTGTGTGTGTGTGTATTTAAAATCCTCACTGGGAAGCTGAGTTGGGGATTTAGGAAGAGCCATCTTGCAGAAAGTGGCATGGAGTATTAATTCATTCCTCTGGCATATGCATAACTTTTTTTCTTGTCGTGTCAGGGCAACCAGTCAATTGTATTACCTTTCTATCATAACATAACAAACAAACAGACAGACAAAACACAAAATTTGCAAGCTTGGTAGTTGATTAAATGTCCTTTGACCAGTATCTGGCCACTTGGAGTGACTCTGGTGTTGCTGCAAGAAGGTTCTCCATTGTGCATGTGGCGGAGCTCAGGTTGCATTGCAGCAGGTGGTCAGTGGTTTGCTCTTCTCCACACTCGGATGTCATGGATTCCACTTTGTAGCCCCATTTCTTGAGGTTGGCTCTGCATCTCATGGTGCCAGAACGCAGTCTGTTCAGCGCCTTCCAAGTCACTTCTGGTCGCTTCTGGAGTGAGAGAATCGGCCGTCTACGAAGACGTTGCCCAGGGGACGCCCGGATATCTTGCAATCCTGCGAGAAGGCTTCTCTCATGTCCCCCATGCTCAGGATGCTTGTCTGTCTTCTGTGTGCCCAGGGGGGAGTCTCTCATTGGGTATCAGCCACTGGTTGAGGTTCTGGGTTTGAGCCTGCCACTTTTGGACTCTTGCTTGCTGAGGTGTTCCAGCAAGTGTCTCTGTAGATCTTAGAAAACTATTTCTAGATTTAAGTCGTTGACGTGCTGGCTGATACCCAAACGGGGATGAGCAGGAGATGTCACTGCCTTGGTCTTTTCACTATTGGCTGCTACTTCCTGGTAGATGTCAGGTGGTGCAATACCGGCTAAGCAGTGCAATTTCTCCAGTGGTGTAGGGTGCAGACACCCCGTGATAATGCGGCATGTCTCATTAAGAGCCACATCCACTGTTTTAGTGTGGTGGGATGTGTTCCACACTGGGCATGCGAACTCAGCAGCAGAGCAGTATAGCGCAAGTGCAGATGTCTTCACTGTGTCTGGTTGTGATCCCCAGGTTGTGCCAGTCAGCTTTCGTATGATATTGTTTCTAGCGCCCACTTTTTGCTTGATGTTCAGGCAGTGCTTCTTATAGGTAAGAGCACGGTCCAGAGTGACTCCCAGGTATTTGGGTGTGCTGCAATGCTCCAGTGGGATTCCTTCCCAGGTGGTCCTCAGAGCTCAGGATGCTTGTCTGTTCTTGAGATGAAAAAGCACGGGGGACATGAGAGAAGCCTTCTCGCAGGATTGCAAGATATCCGGGCGTCCCCTGGGCAACGTCTTCGTAGACGGCCGATTCTCTCGCTCCAGAAGCGACCAGAAGTGACTTGCAGCATGCAAGCAAGCAAGCAGAACAACCAACGGACCTTTTCAGGACCATATGCATAACTATTAGCAGACATGACTGCTTGCAAAGGCATTTCTTGTGGAAAGCCCAGTACAGGTTGAGCACCTTGTATCCAGAATTCTAAAATGCTCCTAAATCCAAAATTGTTCATACGGGTGACTGAGAGAATTATGCCTTTGCTTCCTGATGATTCGATGTATATCAACTTTGTTGTTGCATAACATTGTTAAAAATAAAGGAAAAGATTTTCCTGACATTAAGTCCAGTCGTGTCCAACTCTGGAGTTGGTTCTCTTCTCCATTTCTAAGCTGAAGAGCCAACATGTTCGTAGACACCTCCAAGGTCATGTGGCCAGCATGACTGCATGGAGTGCCGTTACCTTCCTGCAGAAGTGGTACCTATTGCTCTACTCACATTTGCATGTTTTCGAACTGCTAGGTTGGCAGAAGCTGGGGCTAACAGAGGGAGCTCACTTGCTCCCCAGATTCGAACCACCAAGCTTTGGGTCACCCAGCCAACCTTTCAGTCAGCAAGTTCAGCAGCTCAGCGGTTTAACCCGCTGCACCACCTATTATTCAAAATATTGTGCATAAAAATACTTTTTGGCTATCCAGATAAGACACATAAGAAGCTTAAATGAATTTTATGTTTAGACTTGGGTCCCATCACTAAAATATATCATTATGTAGAGTAAGCTTGGAAATCATAGAATCAAAGAGTTGGAAGAGACCTGATGGGCCATCCAGTCCAACCCCCTGCCAAGAAGCAGGAATATTGCATTCAAATCACCCCTGACAGATAGCCATCCAGCCTCTGTTTAAAAACTTCCAAAGAAGGAGCCTCCACCACACTCCGGGGCAGAGAGTTCCACTGCTGAACGGCTCTCACAGTCAGGAAGTTCTTCCACATGTTCAGATGGAATGTCATAAGGATGGCTGAAGCCAACATTCATTAGCAAACTGTACCTCCTATGTTGTCAGGATGGACAGATAACACATTATCTGAATATAATAATAATAATAATAATAATAATAATAATAATAATAATAATAATAGTAATAATGTAATAACAAGTACAAGGATGCTTTCCATAGATGCAGGCAAAACGTCAGGAGAGAATGCCTCTAGAACATGGCCATATAGCCCGAAAAAACCTACAACAACCCAACAACAACTATTATTATTATTAGTAGTAGTAGTAGTAGTAGTATTTGATATATAACAAGATGAGTACACAGCAAACAAGATCACTATGCTGGTTTTTGTATTTGATTAAACGTCGGACACTTCCCAAGTGTCTAGAACAGTGTTTCTCAACCTTCCTAATGCCGCGACCCCTTAATACAGTTCCTCATGTTGTGGTGACCCCCAACCATAACATCATTTTGCTACTTCATAACTGTAATTTTGCTCCTGTTATTAATTTTAATGCAATTATCTGATAAGCAGGATGTATTTCCATTCACTGGACCAAATTTGGCACAAATACCCGATATGCCCAAATTTGAACAGTGGTGGGGGTGGGGGGGGGGGGTTGTATTGATTTTGTCATTTGGGAGTTGTAGTTCACCTACATCCAGAGAGCACTGTGGATTCAAACAATAATGGATCTCTACCAAACTTTGCACAGATAATCATTATGCCCAAATGTAAACACTGGTGGAAATTGGGGAAAATAAACCTTGACATCTGGGAGTTGTAGCTGCTGGGATTTATAGTTCACCTACAATCAAAGAGCATTCTGAATTCCAACAACGGAATTGAACCAAATTTGGCACACAAAACTACCATGGCCAACAGAAAACATGGGAAGGGTTTGGTGGGCATTGACCTTGAGTTTGGAGTTGTAGTTCACCTACATCCAGAGAGCACTGTGGACTCAAACAATGATGGATCTGGACCAAACTTGATATGAATACTCAATATGCCCAAATGTGAACACTGGTGGAGTTTGGGGAAAATAGACCTTGACATTTGTGAGTCGTAGTTGCTGGGATTTATAGTTCACCTACAATCAAAGAGCATTCTGAACCCCACCAACAACTAAATTGGACTAAACTTCCCACACAGAACCCCCATGACCAACAGAAAATACTGTGTTTTCTGATGGTCTTTGGCGACCCCTCTGACACTCCCTGCAGGGGTCCTGACCCCCAGGTTGAGAACCACTGGTTTAGAACTATGTGATGTATCGGTGAATGAATCATGCAGATCCGAGTCAGGTGGCCTTTTGCAGTTGACAGATGGTAATTTTGTCAGTGCTGATTGTTTTTTAATAATTTTAATTTTAATAACAAGATTAAAATCTGACCTTCCTTCTCTCTTCCAGCTCATTCAGACAAACAAACTGAAGCACTACCCCAGCATCCACGGGGACTTCAGCAATGACTTCAAGCAGCCCTGCGTGGTCTTCACCGGTCACCCCTCGCTCCGCTTCGGGGACGTGGTGCATTTCATGGAGCTGTGGGGGAAATCCAACCTGAATACGGTCATCTTTACAGGTAAGAGGTCTGGCTCAATTAATAGACAAATCATAGAGGTGGAAGAGACCACATGGGACATCTAATCCAACCCAGTGTCAGGCAGGAAAAACACATTCAAAACATCCCCAAGAGATGGCCATCCAGCCTCTGTTCAAAAGCCACCAAAGAAGGAGCTTCCACCAGACTCGGAGGCAGAGAGTTCCACTGCTGAACAGCTCTTCTTATAGCCAGGAAATTCTTCCTAATGTTCAGGTAGAATCTCTTTTCCTGTCATTTGAACCCATGGCTCCATCGACTCCTAGTCTCCAGGGCCGAAGAAAGGAAGCCTGCCCATTCTTCCTTATGACATCCTTTCCGATATGTATAAGTTGTGTAGTTGTTAGACAATTAGAAGTTTTAAGGATTACTTTTTAAGAATCCAGACAAAATGACAAAGAAGTTGGGTTGCTGTAAGTTTTTTTGGGCTGTATGACCATGTTCCAGAAGCATTCTCTTCTGATAAAGATGTTGGCTTTGTTGGGAAGTACAGTATATCAACAAAATATGGCATTTGGCTCTTCCATCATTGTTTTCTTAATAGGCCCCACTTGCTTCAGTTTCTGTAACCAATTACCTTGGGAGGTTTTTTCCCACTTTCAACTTCCTTCAGCCTAAGGATCAAATTTAGCTTCAGAAGAGTTCTCTGGGGCTTTGTTTCAGAAATGTTCTCATTCCCACAAAGGTCAGGACCAAAGGGAAAAGGGATGGGGCCAGCACCATCAGTACTTCAAAACACTTACACAGCTAGTAGTGAAGTCTTAGGAGAGTCATTTCAAGCATTTATTTGTTTGTTTGCTTAAAGTATTATTTCCCCGCATTTTTATCATGGGATCTCATGGCAGTGTACAAAATAGCAGACTCTTGGTATCTACTGGAGTTTGGATCCAGGACCATGGACACCAAGATCCATGGATGTCCAAGTCTCATTGTATACAATGTCCTTTTTGGAAATTACCCCATCAGACCACCAATGAGAGGCTTTCCAAATTGTAGTACCACAGCAGTGTTATAAATATACAAAAGGTGGGAAACCACGATTGGCAACTGATGGCTTCCATCTTAGCAAAATAACAAATCTATCCTTACAATTACAGTCACGCTTCCCCTCTATTCTGCCTTGGTTAGACCACACCTGGAATATTGTGTCCAATTCTGGGCACCACAATTGAAGAGAGATATTGACAAGCTGGAATGTGTCCAGAGGAGGGCGACTAAAATGATCAAGGGTCTGGAGAACAAGCCCTATGAGGACCGGCTTAAGGAGCTGGGCAGGTTTAGCCTGAAGAAGAGAAGGCTGAGAGGAGGCATGATGTATAAATATGTGAGAGGAAGCCACAGGGAGGAGGAGGGAGCAAGCTTGTTTTCTGCTGCCCTGGAGACTAGGACGCAATGGAACAATGGCTTCAAACTACAAGAAAGGAGAATCCACCTGAACATGAGGAAGAATTTCCTGACTGTGAGAGCCGTTCAGCAGTGGAACTCTCTGCCCCGGAGTGTGATGAAGGCTCCTTCTTTGGAGGCTTTGAAACAGAGGCTGGGTGGCCATCTGTCAAGGGTGCTTTGAACGTGATTGTCCTGCTTCTTGGCAGAATGGGGTTGGACTGGATGGCCCGTGAGGTCTCTTCCAACTGTACGATTCTATGATTTTATAATTGGCTTTGAGGGAACTGCCTATGTTTCTGAAACCCTGAAGCGAACCGAGGATACACTTGTTATGTATTTATAAAACACAAAGTTTAAAAAACTTGGCATTCTATTAAATGTCCTTTGACCAGTATCTGGCCACTTGGAGCTCCTCTGGTGTTGCTATAAGAAGGTCCTCCATTCTCCACATGGCGGACTGCATTGTAATAGGTGGTCTGTGGTTTGCTCTTCTCCACACTCGCATGTCATGGGCTCCACTTTGTGGCTCCATTTCTTAAGGTTGGCTCTGCATCTTGTGGTGCAAGAGCGCAGTCTGTTCAGTGCCTTCCAAGTCCCCCAGTCTTTTGTGTGGCCAGTAGGGGGTCTTTCATTCGGTATCAGCCATGGCTTGAGGTTTGAGCCTGCCACTTTTGGACTCTCGCTTGCTGAAGTGCTCCTTCCAAGTCTCCTAGTCTTCTGTGTGCCCAGGAGGGAGTCTCTCATTCAGTATCAGCCATGGCTTGAGGTTCAGGGTTTTAGCCTGCCACTTTTGGACTCTTGCTTTCTGAGGTGTTCCTGCAAGTATCTTTGTAGAGCTTAAAAAACTATTTCTTGATTTAAGGCATTGACATGCTGGCTGATATCCGAACAAGGGATGGGCCGGAGATGTCACTGCCTTGGTCCTTTCATTATTGGTTGCTCCTTCCCAGAGGATGTCAGTTGGTGCAATAATGGCTAAATAATAGAATTTCTTCAAGGGGTTAACCTGGCATGATGTGAGTTATAGTTCACTCACAACCCTATACATTTTGTAAAATTTAAAAAAATGACTTTTTCAAATAACCTGGGCAAGTATATTATAATTTCACTCTATTTTATGGATAAGGACCAATAAGCCCACTGTATCTTCAGATTCTACACCCACAGATTTGACCATCCACAGCTTGAGTTTTTTCTTTTCAATCCAAAAAACAAACCTTGATTTTTGCCCTTTTGTACAAGGGGCACAGTTTCTTACACCGCTGTATATAATGGGACTTGAGCATCCACAGATTTGGGTATCTGCAAGACATCCTGGAACGAAACCCCAGTTGACCTGTGTATTTGGAAATACTGTATTATATTATCTTGTCTGAATTTTCATTTCACTGGAAAATTAAACTTTACATGTACAATCTTGTTTGTAATCCTGTAATAAATCTGGCTTGCGTATATTGCGAGCTTCAAAAAAAGAATATGTCGCAGATTTAATTAAAATGAAGAGGTGGGTTTTTCTCTGCTCCTGCGCCTCATGATTAAATTTGCAATAGGAAGAAAGAAGGAAAGGAGAAGAACAAGGAAGCCAAGAGGCCATCCTTCCGGATGAATTACCATTGTTCTCTTACTTGAGAGGAGATTTAATTGTGGGCATAATTTTAATCATTATTTAACCAGGGCAGCCTTCTCCATCCATCCTGGCCTTTTCCAAATGTGTTGGCTGTGGACGATGGGATTTGCAGTTAGACACATTTGATGAAAACGGAGATGAAGACAGCCTGGATTTGGATCTTTGAAAAGGGAGCAAAATTGAGTGCCATTCGTAGGTCTAATGGTTGCTCATATTGCAAAGGCCCCTTCCACACAATCCACATTGAACTGGATTATATGGCAGTGTGGACTCAAATAACCCAGTTCAAAGCAGACATTGTGGATTATCTGCCTTGATATTCTGGGTTATATGGCTATGTGGAAGGGCCCAAACACTGCTCTTCGTGCATATTCTCATTATATAAGAGCACTAGCTGTCCCCTGCCAGACATGTGGCCCAGTCTGTGTATGGGTTTTGTGTGTATATATGTGGTTTTGTGCATGTGTTTTAATGTATGTCTTATTTTTTGTCTTTTTAAGTCTCCTCTCCTGTATTTTTCAGTGTTTTTATGAGTGATGGTCACTCATTGGCCTGATAGGTGTCTTGTGTCCAAATTTGGTGTCAATTCGTCCAGTGGTTTTTGAGTTTTGTTAATCCCACAAACGAATATTACATTTTTATGTATATAGATTGGTTTCATTTCTATGCCCTTTTTTCTCAGGCCCTCCTCTCTCCCGCCATCCTATCCTTCTTTCCTTCCTCCTTCCCTCCCTCCTTCCCTTTTGTCCTTCCTTTCCTTCCCTTTTCTCCCTCCTTCCCTCTCTCTTTCTCCTTCCTTCCTACCCTTTTGTCTTTCCTTCCTTCTCTCTTTCCTCCTTTCCTCCCTCAATTCCCTTCTTTCCTTCTCTTCCTCCCTCCCTTCCTTCCTTCCCTTTGTCTTTTTCCTTCTCCCTTCCTCCCTCTTCTCCCTCCCTCCTTCCCTTCCACCCTTTGGTCCTTCCTTCCTCTTTCCCTCCTTCCTCTCTTTCTCCTCCTTCTTTCTCTTTTGTCTTCTCTCTTTCCCACTTCCCTCCCTCTCTCCCTCCCTCCGTCCATTCTCTTCAACCCTTCCTCCCTCCTTCAATCCTTCCCTCCCTTCTCTTTCCCCCCTCCCTCAATTCCCTTCCACTCTTCCTTCCATCCATCCATCCATCCATCCATCCATCCTTCCTTCCTTCCTTCACTTCCTTCTCTCTTTCCTCCCTCCCTCAATTCCCTTCCACTCGTCCTTCCTTCCCTCCCTTCTTCCCTTCCTTCTCTCTTTCCTCCCTCCCTCCCTTCCATTTTTCCTTATTCCTTCCCTCCTGGGGGATGTTTAGCTGGGAGAAGAGAAGGTAGAGAGGGTGTCTGATTGAGAAGAAGGAGGGGGAAACCTGACTTCCCATCTTTCCTTAACTTTCTGCCTCCGAAAGAGAAGAGGAAGGGGAGGAAAAGGCAGGGAGGGGGCTTGGGGAGATCCCCCTCTCTTCCTCTCTCCTGGCCCACCTACTCTCCTCTGGCTCACCATGCAGCCCCCAAGTTAGAAAGTTTGCCCATGTCTGCCTTATGTCCTGCACCAGTAGAAAGTAAACACAGAATTTAAACAAACGAACAAGTTTGAAAAGTCAGTAATGGTAGTAATAATAATTTTATGGCTGTAAGGACAAGCCAACCTAGCAGTTCGAAAACATGCAAATGTGAGTAGATCAATAGGTACCGCTCCGGCGGGAAGGTAATGGCGCTCCATGAAGTCATGCCGGCCACATGACCTTGGAGGTGTCTATAGACAATGCCGGCTCTTTGGCTCAGAAATGGAGATGAGCACCACACCCCAGAGTCAGACATGACTGGACTTAATGTCAGGGGACTACCTTTACCAACCTAAGGACAGGGGATGCTGGATGCTGTCTTCCCATTAAAGTTGCCTATAAGTGGACTGGGTTTTCTCTTTTATTCAAACACATCTGGATATTCTTTCCCTCCCTATTCTGTTCTTAAATGAATTCAGGTGCTGTTTCTGCTCATTTGTGTTTCTTGGCTTGCTTTCTCCTGTTTACAGAGCCCGACTTCTCCTACCTGGATGCCTTGGCCCCTTACCAACCGCTGGCCATGAAATGTGTTTACTGCCCCATAGATACCAGGCTGAATTTCATCCAGGTGTCTAAGCTGCTCAAAGAAGTGCAGGTAAAATTGGATCCCTTATTTGATGGCTGTTACTGCAAGGCCTAAACCAGAAAATGCAGGCTGTGGATGACATACGGACTGCTTTTTGTAGCCCCGAACCACTGTGTATTTAAGTATTTCGGGCAAAAGGAACAGCCTGGAAAAAATCAATAACTTCCAGGAGATGTCCAGAAGTAGTAGATTGATTAAGGGACTTCTGCTCCTGGTTTTGTACCCAAATAAGGGTAGATAAGCCCACCATAGGAATAAACATGACCCCCTACTGTAGTTTCCACCCTGCACACAACACTATGTAATACCATTTTTGTTCCTTGGTTATAAATTTCATTTCCTAACTGGTTCTATCATAAAAACATGGAAAAGGTTTATTAAACTGCAAAAACTTTGTTTTTACTGGGCATTCTAATGTAGCACATTTTGCTCTAGTTTTTCCATGAATGTCTCATTGAGTGTCAACCAATAAATAATAATAATAATAATAATAATAATAATAATAATAATAATAATATACTTTTATTTGTGGTCCCACCACCATCTCCCAGACTCAAGGTGTAACATGCAAAATACAAAATGTGCAAAACAAAACATAAACAATGTATTGTTGAAGGCTTTCATGGCTGGAATGACTAGGTTCTTGTGGTTTTTTTCGGGCTATAGAGCCATGTTCTAGAGGCATTTCTCTAGAGGCATAAACAATAAACAGTCAACATTATTAAAACCACGCAATCCAAAATCATAGCCCAAGGTCGTTCCAGATGTCATTTCACTATTCCGTTTTTACACTGCACTGAAAAATTACTGTCTGAAAGCTTGGTCCCACATCCACGTTTTTAATTTCTTTCTGAAAGTCAGGAGGGAGGGGGCCGATCTAACTCCAAGTGGCCAGTGAGCTGATCTAACTCCAAGGGGCAATGACTGAGAAGGCCCTGTCTCTCGTCCCCGCCAACACGCCTGTGATGGTGGTGGGACCGAGAGCAGGGCCTCATCAGAAGATCTTAATCTCCGCAGTGGTTCATAGGGGGAGATGCGACCGTTTAGGGCTTTATAGGCCAAAGCCAGCACTTTGAATTGTGCCAGTAGCAAACTGGCAGTCAGTGGATCTGGTGTAATATGGGAATTGTATGCTCCCTGTACGTCGCTCCAGTTATTAACCTGGCTGCCTCTCTCTGGACTATTTGAAGCTTCCGAGCAGTTTTCAAAGGCAACCCAACGTAGAGGGCGTTGCAGTAATCTAACCTAGATGTGACGAGAGCATGGACCACCGTGGCCAAAGTATGGGAGCAGCTGGCACAAAAGTTTTAATTGTGCAAAACCCAACCTGGCCACTGCTGCAACCAGAGATTCCAGGCTCAGCGATGAGTCCAGGTGGACTCCCAAGCTGCGAACCTGTGCCTTCAAGGGGAATGTAAACCCATCCAGCACAGGCTGTAACCCTATACCCTGTTCAGCCTTGCCTCTACATTTACACCTTTATGCCATCCAGAATGGTGCCCATACACATGCCTTGTGTCCTTATTTCTGTTTGCAGCCCCTCCACGTGGTTTGCCCAGAGCAGTACACGCAGCCCCCTCCCACCCAGTCCCACCGCACCGACCTAATGATCGACTGCCTGCCGGCCCCCATGTCCTACCGCAGAGCCGAGGTGCTGACCCTCCCATTCAAGCGCCGCTATGAGAAGATCGAAATTACACCCGAGGTAAGTGTGAGCAGAATGGAAGCATTTGGTGCCTGTAGCAGAGTCGAGTGCAGCATAGTGGGAAAGAGGAGAGAAAGCACAAAGGATGTCCCAGTAAGTCTTCTGCAATTAGGTAAAGACCTTTCTGTACCAGCAGGCATTTTGGGAAAGCAGAAAAGGTACATTTCAGGAGAGGTTGTGGATGTTCCTTCCTCTTTATTTACCATGTCAGAAGCGAACCTAGGGTATGGTTGTAATGTATTTAAAAACACAAACAAAAATAAAGAACTTGGCATTATCCTAATGTCCTTTGACCAGAAGCTGGCCACTTGGAGTGCCTCTGGTGTTGCATGTGGAAAGGCTCATGCTGCCTTGTAATAGGTGGTCTGTGATTTGCACTGCGCCACCAGGAGCGCCTTAGAATAATAGAATCATAGAGTTGAAAGAGACCTCATGGGCCATCCAGTCCAACCCCATTCTGCCAAGAAGCAGGAATATTGCATTCAAATCACCCCTGACAGATGGCCATCCAGCCTCTGTTTAAAAGCTTCCAAAGAAGGAGCCTCCACCACAATCCAGGGCAGAGAGTTCCACTGCTGAACGGCTCTCACAGTCAGGAAGTTCTTCCTCATGTACAGGTGGAATCTCCTCTCTTGTAGTTTGAAGCCATTGTTCCACTGCGTCCTAGTCTCCAGGGAAGCAGAAAACAAGCTTGCTCCCTCCTCCCTGTGGCTTCCTCTCACATATTTATACATGGCTATTATGTCTCCTCTCAGCCTTCTCTTCTTCAGGCTAAACATGCCCAGCTCCTTAAGCCGTTCTTCATGGGGCTTGTTCTCCAGACCCTTGATCATTTTAGTCGCCCTCCTCTGGACACATTCCAGCTTGTCAATATCCCTCTTCAATTGTGGTGCCCAGAATTGGACACAAGACCTTGCACAGGTGCTCAATCTATATAAATAAAAATGTAATGTTTGTTTGTGGGATTAACAGAACTCAAAAACCACTGGACGAATTGACACCAAATTTGGACACAAGACACCTAACAACCCAAAGTATGTCCTTCACTAAAAAAATGATTTTGTCATTTGGGAGTTGTAGTTGCTGAGATTTATAGTTCACCTAAAATCAAAGAGCATTCTGAACCCCACCAACGATGGAATTGAACCAAACTTGGTACACAGTTCTCCCATGACCAACAGAAAATACTGGAAGGGTTTGGTGGGTAATGTCCTTTGGTTTTGAAGTTGTAGTTCACCTACATCAAGAGATCACTGTGGACTCAAACAATGATGGATCTGAACCAAACTCTACACGAATACTCAATGTGCCCAAATGTGAACACTGGTGGAGTTTGGGGAAAATAGAATCTTGACATTTGGGAGTTGTAGTTGCTGGGATTTATAGTTCACCTACAATCACAGAGCATTCTGAACCCCACCAACAATAGAATTGGGGCAAACCTCCCACACAGAACCCCCATGTGGGCCACAGCAACGCGTGGCAGGGGACGGCTAGTCTGTAATAATTTTAAGGCAATCTCTATATGTAATAATGCATCTGCTCTGACTCAAAACAATGTGAAGACAACCGGTTTGTGTAACTGGCCGGACATAGAACCCTCTCCCAGCAAATGAACACTTTAAAACCTGAGGAGGGTCCTATTTTTTTGCTTTGCACATCCCAACAGAGCGGCTTAAGAGTGAGCGCATGCCTGTCAGCTTTGCATCGTAGGAGTAGTTCCAGTAAGGGGAATTAAACTCAGCCCCTTCATCCAAAGCTTCATAAACTTTACTGCAAATAAACTTCACAACATTCTAGAACGCAGTCTGTTAATTGGAACAATTTTTTTTTGTCTCAACAAAGCCTTGAAACTCAAAGGCGTGTCATTAAATAGGGGTGGTAAAAAACAAAAACACAGCGTGGAGCCCTTTGTAAAATCAAGTTGCGTCCCTAAGGAACAGAGTGCTATTTGCCATGCAAAGAACCCATTTGCCTGAACCGTAGCTGGAGTCCAGGAGGGTTTCGTTTTGTAATTAGGGGAAGAAAGGATTGCTCAATTGGAATTCCTCTGCATCCTTTGCCATTTAACAAGCCTGTTCAGGTGAGAAGTCTTGCGCTGCAGAGGTATTTCTGCCTTTCTCCCAGCTTTATAAACAGAGATTCTACTAGTATTTGTATGCCTTGCCTTATAGGTTGGCTTGATTCACATGCTTAATTTCCCCTTGGAAAGATTTCTGTTGCTTGACAGATTCTGATGATCCCAGATCCAAGAAACAATACTACCGTGTATATTCGAAGGCTTTCATGGCCGGACTCACTGGGTTGTTGTAGGTTTTTTCGGGCTATATGGCCATGTTCTAGAGGCATTCTCTCCTGACGTTTCACCTGCATCTGTGGCAAGCATCCTCAGAGGTAGTGAGGTCTGTTGGTACTAGGAAAAAGGGGTTTATATATCTGTGGAAAGACCAGGGTGGGACAAAGGACTCTTGTCTGCTGGAGCTAGATGTGACCGTTTCAACTGACCACCTTGATTAGCATTTGATAGCCTGGAAGAGCCTGGAGCAATCTTTTGTTGAGAGCTGATTAGATGTCCCTGATTGTTTCCCCTCTGCTGTTTTGCTGTTTTAGTTTTAGAGTTTTTTAATACTGGTAGCCAGATTTTATTCATTTTCATGGTTTCCTCCTTTCTGTTGAAATTGTCCACATGCTTGTGGATTTCAGTGGCTTCTCTGTGTCGTCTGACATGGTGGTTGTGAGAGTGGTCCAGCATTTCTGTGTTCTCAGATAATATGCTGTGTCCAAGTTGGTTTATCAGGTGCTCTGCTATGGATGACTTCTCTGGTTGAAGTAGTTGATAACCACTTAGAGAAGAGTGGGGTACAAATATTTGAAATAAATAAATCATAGAATCATAGAGTTGGAAGAGACCTCATGGCCCAACCCCTGCCTAGAAGCAGGAATACTGCATTCAAAGCACCCCTGACAGATGGCCAGCCTCTGTTTCAAAGCCTCCAAAGAAGTAGCCTCCACCACACTCCGGGACAGAGAGTTCCACTACTGAACGGCTCTCACAAATAAAATACTTTGCTAAAGAACTACATTGCTCAATAGGAAAGTTAAGGGCCTAACTATGTAGCTATCTAACTCACTGAAGCAGCAAAACATTTTGTCTCTCTCGATGCTCCAGAAGAACAAAAATGGAGGACTCAGGGCCTTGACATGTGGCTGAAACATGAGAAAAGGGTCATGGAAGATCAATAAACCTAAGAGAATGGGAACAAACATGGAAACTGAAACTAAAATACACGTACTCATCTGACCTGAAAGAGAATTGGTACAAAATGTTCTTCCGATGGCACATGACCCCACAGAAACTTGGACTAATGTATAAAAACACCCAAAACAAATATTGGAAGTGCCAAACCCAAGTGGGAACATACTACCACATGTGGTGGTCATGTACTAAAGCTAGAAAATATTGGAAAACAATACAGGAGGCCTCTCAGAAGATCCTGCAAACAACAATACAATTAAAACCAGAATACTTCCTTCTCGGCATTACGGACGTAGATATACCGCTCGAAAGAAATAAAGACAAACTATTCACTTTCCTGACAACAGCAGCAAGGACAACATACGCCAAGAAGTGGAAACTAAAGGAACCGCCAACCAAAGAAGAATGGGGAGCTAAGGTTTCCGAACAATGGACATGGATTTATTAACATACTATCTTAAAGACCCAGAGGACAAGCCAATAAACCCAACAGACTGGACCCTCTTCAAAAATTACATGGAATCACAATGAAACTCACGAAGACTTGCTACCCCCGAGTGAGTACAAGTGACAGAAATGAAAACAATAAATCAGAGACTTGGAAAGTCCAAAAAATAAGTGGCCAATATTAAACAACAACGCGGCACTGGAGTGGATGATGCTTAAGGCATTGCGCTTAATAACATCACCAGGGTCCAGTCCCTGTGTCATCTGCTTAGATTTCGGGTTTTGACCCCTAAATCTCAGGGTTGGGATAATCCTGACCTGGCAAGGCTCCTGCAGACTAGATGGAGTGACATACAACTGGGTCTAACAGAGCACATGCAACTGCAGGAGCATTTGGAAGCCTTTGAGGCAAGGAGGAGAAGAGATGGGCGCGACGTAGGGCTTGGAGCCCACTCTGGAACTTGGATGCGATGTGCAATTTGGCTGCGGCTCGTCATGCATTTTTAATCGGGCTCTCAGTACCAGACCAGCCATCCCTATTGCCTGGCGCACACACCATCTCTCTGTTCACAGCATCCTTGGGAAATTAACTTCTATGGGTTTATCAAAACGGCACAAATAGGCAAAGGCGGTCCTCGGCTTTATTCCTTAAACGTTTTAAGGAACCCTTGAGACTCATTACTGTCCCTGTAGCAGCAAAATAGTTTTAATGATGTCTCTGATGAAAGGCTTTTTAATAAAAACTGCCACACAACACACACAGGGCTATTTTTTTTTTTGCACTTTATTTTAGACTGCAAGTATACTTATTATTCTCCTAGAAACTGTATTTGGCTACTGCCTTGTGCAAAATTCAAAAATTCCAACGTGGCATTGCAGAAAAGGCCAAATCCTGACCTTGGAATTTGTGATTGCGCTCTTCTCAATTAACATCAGATTATGATGCATGATTACTTTTGCTGAGAGTGGAAAGTCACATTTTTCAAAAAGCAGTGCTACCCAAAATGGTAGCTCATGGACCAGTATCAGTGCGCAAGTTGGACCTCAACATGCTACCAAAGAAGAAACAAAATGGTCATGTATTGTTGAAGGCTTTCATGGCCGGAATCACTGGGTTATTGTAGGTTTTTTCGGGCTATATGGCCACGTTCTAGTGGCATTCTCTCCTGACGTTTTGTCTGCATCTATGGCAAGCATCCTTAGAGGATCTCACAACCTCTGAGGATGCTTGCCATAGATGCAGGCGAAATGTCAGGAGAGAATGCCACTAGAATATGGCCATATAGCCCGAAAAAGC